CAAATTCAGCGATGATTGGAATAAGTCATAGAGAGTTGAAGGGTACTGGACCATGAGTGGCATCTTGTATGCATGTGCGCATCAGTTTATATGCTGCACCACGATCAAGTGCAATGGTACACTGCACTGAGGGGCGGTACTTCCCGGCATCGAGCAATGTCAGACGACCATCACGGGATGACTCGCCGCTCACGTGTTGTAAGCGAGGGCGCTGGTGGATCAGGACCATTTTTCATCAAAAGCTGTTATTTCCACGTTGACTGAGGCAGTCGCCAGTGTGCTGTTGAAAGACGATCTTCGCTCTAGTCACTACACCTCACTGCCACTGGCTATCGCTCGCGGCTACATGTACCCCACGGTTATAACGCCGAATCGCCGCTGCACGTGCTGTGCCGTCTTGTTTGGGAGCAAATTTTTCTACTTCTAGAGCGAATACTGCATGTTGGACAGCATGTGATAAGAGACTGCACCCCGTATCTGTACGGGCTGGACTATGGACATGTGAACTTAGTGCTGGCGCTTGGTAGTCAATACGGTCAACGTATTTGTTTGCTAGCGATCTTTCAGGCTGTGTCCGACGAACTCAAACATGTTGGCAAACTTTGCCTGCTTGCTGGCCGTGCATGCCAGGAGTTTAGGCTAAGTGCATTTTGGACAGTGCTTCAAGATTATCACGAAGTTTCTGATGAAACGCCGATCTTGCCGCATCGCTTAATAAGATGAGTGACTCGCTTTGACATAAGTGGCTCTCTTTGGCGTGAGTGACTTGATTCGGCGAGGGCTGTCCTGCGGCAACAGCCCCCTTGGCGCCAGCTGGGTAGGCGCTGTCCGAACGCTGGGTGCCGTCCAGCAGTCTGACGCCGGACCACCGGCCGGCAGTGGTACCGCAGCCCGGACTTCCCCGTGTTCGCGGCCTACTTCCAGCGAAGGCTGATGCTGCCGGACGAGGACTTCCACCTGCTGGAGCCGGGCTCGCTGTGGCGCGTGTGGGACTTCCTGCAGACGCACACGCACACCAGCGTGCTGCCCAACCCGCCCTCCTCCGGCTTCATGGGTGAGTAGCGGCCGGCGAGCGGCGGGCCGGCGGCGCGACGGGCACGTGGTTCGATCCCCTCGGTGCTGCCTACGTGGAATGGCGTACTCACGGGCTTGCAGCACGTCGCAGCGGCTGCGGGACGCTTTTGGCTGGTTTTATGTGTTTTCGTGGATCGTGAGTTCTGGAAGGACCCGGGTAATTTTGATTTGCTGATCCTGCATCTGTGGAAATTCTTCGTTGTCATTTCATTTCAAATCCCCGGCAATTTCCGATCTAAGATCCAGGACTCGTATCTGCGTACTGGCGGGACCCATTAACGCGGCCCGAACGCACATCCACCCGCCTCTGCAGTCACCACCTGCGTCACGTTCGGCCGCGCCGCCCCGTCACCCCCGGCCGCCCCACCGGCAGGCATCGCGCTCATGCTGGACCGCTGCCAGCACGTGGACGTGTACGAGTTTGTGCCGTCGCTGCGTATGACCAAGCGCTGTCACTACTACGACGTGGAGGAGAACGAGTTCTGCACGCTGGGCGCCTGGCACCCGCTGGCCACGGAGAAGCTGCTGGCTCTGCGATGAGCACCGCCTCCGACCGAGACGTGTTCGAGCGCGGCGTGCTGCGCCTGCGCGGCTGGGGCGGGCTCAGCTGCAGCTGATGACGCGCGCCGGCGAGCGCCAGGTGCCGGGGGGCAGGGGGTGCCGTGCCGTGGTGTGCTGTGCTGTGCTGCGCTGTGTGCTGCGTGGAAAGAGGAAGGGAGGTGGTGGGGTGGTGGCTCGGGTGGGGAGTGCGGGCTACTGCACGGGGTGGCGGTGGGCCGGCCGGAGGCGGTGTTTTACGTTTGAGGCCCGACACGTTGGCCAGCAGCCTTTTGTGAGCGGCTCAGCGTCGTGCCGAGACGATACTGGATGCTGATGATTGCTGATGCGGCGTCCGATCAGGGGACTGCGTGTGACGTTTGCGTGAGCATTTCTTCATATCTAGTCATCAGAAGCAGTGCGCGATACTAGTCATCGGACGAATTTGACCGATTTGTTTTCGTTGTCAGGGTTAGTGCTTCTACGGCCTCTATGTTGTGAACGATTGGAAAACCGTGATTCCCTCCGTGATTTCGGTTGATTTTCGGAGCCAGTAGTTTCCATATGACACCAATACTTTGCATTGTGGTCTCGGAGTCGAACGTGGTTGAAGCTGAGATTATTTCGGTTTATCTAGATTGCCAATGGTTAGATACGTGTCTTCCAGTGCAGGGATTTTCGGTTTGTGCGTCCTTTACCAGATCTAGTCATGCAAGCTAGGCTGCAATGCTAGTCGCGGCAACGGTTGGTGTGGTTAGTCGTATGCGGATGACCTAAGGCATTTTAAGGATGTCGAAAACGCTGGGAGGATCAGTGGGGATATTTCGAGATTGTCGGACCTCCGGTAATGTCGGAGGGCTTTGCCAACCTCATAGCCCCGTGGCATGCTTTGTCATGTCGTAGGACGGCGGAGGGTGGTGACGGCTATTGGCGTTCGTTGCTGCCAGCGGTCCAGCCTGAACCGCCGCTCATATCTTAAGTGTGTGTGGCCGTGCGTGGGACTGACCACCTCAGCCCTGAGGTGTCATAGAGGGCTCTGCGATCATCCGGGAGCCCCGTGGACCCTGGTGCTACTTGTTTTGGTGTTAGCGAGGTTTTTGGTGGTTACCGTGTACATGGTTGTCGGCCCCCGGGTTATCGAGAGCGCTTTGATTGCGTTAAGAGGATTTCTGACCAATCGGCGGTCACATGTCGTTTTGTGTCCCTGTAAGCGTCCGGGGAATATGACCTTTTGGCCTGATAGCGACCTCATCATTCTGGCCCAAGTGTCCTGAACCCTACAGCGGCACGTGGTCCGCTTCATGATCTCTGGACTGTCTCGAATGATCCTGGCCACCTCTGGGCCCATTTTGAGATCCGGTTTACAATGTCAACACACGACAAGTGCGGAGAAAGCAAAGACATCGCTTTTCGTAGCGTGTGTTGAAAGCGGTACGAAGCACGCGTTGATTAAAACATTCAATCATGTGTTATTCAGCTGTGAGATTAAGGCCATGCGACAGTTGCCTGGTGCCATGACCAATGAGGTTCTCACCCAGCTAAGCTTGTCTGACGCTGTGTCCCGCCAATGCTATTGCTTTAATAATTTTGCTAGTGTTTTGAAACGGCTGACATGATGCTACTTGCACCAAATACACCATGTACGTGAAGCCCTGGTTGCGCAGCAGGCCGTTCATCAGGGTTTTTGTTGTCTTGATGGATGCGGAGCCTGAGCGGGACATGACCGGGAGCTGGTGTTTTCGAGTGGTGCTGTGAGCGCGAGACCGTGCAGTGACGGCGTGACCGACCGGGTGCGCCGTGGACGGTGGGCCTGCCACGCTCTAGCCGACGAGTTAGCGCATTTCTTCCACCGTGCGGCAGTGAGATCGAGGCCGACTGGCTCATCGGAGGTGGAGTTTATTCCGACGCGCTTCGGTCTGCGCCTCGCAGTCCTGCGTTGACGCTATCGACCAATCGTGGAGATAGGAGCACTTTGAAATCGATGGTCGTCAGGGTAACGCATGGCATGAGTCGTCGGCGATCGCATGAGTCGGTGACACATGGCATGAGTCGTCGGCGATCGCACGAGTCGGTGACGCATGGCATGAGTCGTCGGCGATCGCATGAGTCGGTGACACATGACATGAGTCGTCGGCGATCGCACGGGTCGGTGACACATGGCATGAGTCGTCGGCGATCGCATGAGCCGGTGACGCATGACATAAGTCGTCGGCGATCGCATGAGTCGGTGACGCATGGCATGAGTCGTCGACGACGCATAGGAGCGTACCTTTTTGTATTTTGTCCTTCAAGCCGACTTCGCTCCCTTCGCCCTCCCCCAAGCGGCGTTCTCGACCCCCTGCCAATATACGCGCTCGGGTCCACGATTGGACGTCAGCGCGTTGGTGGAACGCTGCGGCAAGTGGCCTGTATGCGCTTGAATTTTCACGGGAAAACCTGCAACGAACCTTCCCTGCTGCATGCTTTACGAGAACGCCATTGGAATTCGATTGCATTCTAAACAGGGGTGTTCCTTGTATTAAGCCCCCTCCCTCTTCCCGCCGTGCCAGTGCAGTTGGGAGGATTATTTAACCCCCAGTCTTTTGTTGAGGATCAGTGAAAACGTTTTGTGTGCCGCACATCGTTCTGCTATGCACATTGACCTATCCAAGTATTTTATAGGTCAATGGCTGTGCTACATAATCGCCCTGCGCCGGTACGACCGTATCAGATCTACCAACCTACATACCAGCCCCTACGGCATACCATAGCCGCGCTCCCCGTCGTTGCGTCCCTAATAGGAAGATAGGTTTATCTTGCTGACGAGCCGCTCCGTATTGTCAGCATGACGATATCGGTTGTGCATTTATTTACCGCAAGCAATTCCAGCAGAGGCCAACACCAGAGCTGCCCACATGATGCACAGGTTTTAAGTGCCAATGGTATGAGCAATAAAGAGGCTTTGTCGTCTAGACATGTTTATATTTTGGTGTCTCTGGCTGGTTCTGTGGTTGAATGTGGTTTTTTGTGGTATGTTGGATCATGTTAGTGCTTTTTGGTGTTTACTGAACCCTTGGGTGTTTACCGGACACTGGTGGTGCCACATGTGCCAGATGAGCTGTGGTGGTGTAATCATATTCAACATTATTGCGAATGAACCGTCGTAATATGTGTGTCTGAATGACATTGAGCATTTTGTTGGCATTGTGAAGAGCTCCTCGTGCAAGGAATCGACTGATATACCATCAGGCTGCCAGGGCTCTGGCAATCCTGGAACCCGGCTGTGGCCCGTGAAAAGATTCATGCTTGTGTGCTTTGGTACCTTCCTGCATTTTAGTCATTATACATTAAGAAGTTTGCGTTGTGTTTGAAGAATGTATTTGAACAATCCATCTGCAAGGTGAGCATTCTTTAGTCCACTTTTAAAACGATATTCAAATTGCTCCAATCTTGACTTATCAGCAGACAGGATGGGTGTACAGGTATAATAGTTGTTATGATCTGGCATGCAAATTCTGTGGATCTTTCAGATGTGGAAATGAAGAACTCATGTGGATAAATGTGGATAGCCCTTTTCTTTTTGCTCCTGTGTGTGTGGGCCACAAGTTTTTGAACTGGTAATTACTCTCAACTTTATGTTGCTGCACACATTTGTTTGCTGACAATCTGTGTGTCAGGCATTGGTTTTGGCTTGTCTTCTTGTGTGGACTTGAATAATTTTTTGTAATGATGCCAGACTGCAAAAATACATGTCCAGTGTAGCAGCAATGTGGCTGCAATGAGTTCAAGGCACATATGCTGTCAGCACAGGCTTTCAGAGTTTGGTGCAAGGTTACCATCAACTTAAGCACGAAGAAAACTAATTTTTCAAGGCATTATTTTGTTGCTTAGATAATTTCTGGCTAAAATGCTTGATAAACATGTTTCTCACAAAAATAGTTCAAAATCAATGTCATTCAGCCTGGCCTGAGTATGGCACGCAAGAGAGAGGTTCAGTGTTCCAATACCAGACACAGATGCCATAATGTGTCACCTGGGCAGCAGTGAGTAGTTTTTTCAGACTGGCATCTGATTATCTGTTTGACAATAATTTGGCTACTGAAATGCAACACCTGATTAGCTATTAATTAGATTACTGATGATTCAAGTGGTAACATATTCATGTTTTATTTCGCACATCTTAAAAATGCCCAGATTGGTTTCATATGGGTATGGAAGCAGACTTGCCGAACAGCTTGCTGGTGGATGAACTTGGGAGTGGCCTGGTCAAGTGTAGAAACAAGTGAAGTCTTGTTTAGCCAGGGCAGACTTGATTTCTATAAAATATGACGTGATACTAGTTAAGAATCAAGTCACTGCTATCTTCAAATTGTATTTTCAATTCTGGGCTTTTGTGCTGGTAAAAGTGCACATTCACATTGTAAACCATCGTGACTGTAATGAAGTCATTTGGATTAGATGTAAGTCTGAATCCATGCCTTTTAAGCAGTTAAAATTTACTGAAGAGGGTATCATGTTGTAAATCAAGAGTTGAATGCACCTCCTGCTCTGTATGGTATGTTAGGGGAGAATTAAACAAAAGTCTGCCAAACAAGGTTGTGCTTGACTTAAGTAAAATCCTATTATGCCTTATCAAAATTATTTTTAATGGAGATTTGTGGATACCGGCTGGCTGCGATAGCATTCATGCCCCTAAATTAATGATTTTAGCCAGCATTTGACATGACCTGAAATATTAGAAGCCAAGTAAATCAAGGTCCAACCAAACCACATAAGCATTAATATTAAAGCAAGAAAGATCTGATACAACCTTAGTGACATTGGTTTTATTGATTTGTAGGCTTGTAAGATTGTTCATTAAGGTTGCTCAACTATGATGTCTGAATGTGCTGATTTCACCTTTCAGTGATGAGGCTTTGAGCGAGTTGGCCCGCTTCCTGAAGGTTGAGGCCAGACAAGATGTGAAGGCTGCTGCTCTGCAGCATGTTCTTGGTATGTGATGATCATGATGTACCATTAACAGTGCTATTATCTGGGATGAGATCTTTACCACATTGAACAGTACAACTTTGCTTCAAATGGTGATGTGGTTTAATGTGTTTATTTCCTATGTGACAACAGTTTTATAGGGGATGGTTTGCTGTTGTGCTAAGCACATCACAAATAATGGTGGTCTTAAATCTAGAATCCATGTTTCTTGCATGAGCTCCACAGGATTATGGCAAGTTTGGATTTGTTACGACCTTCAGCTCTCACTGAAGGCCGACTCCAGATGTATCAGCGGCAAGACATATCCATGTGTATCAGTGACCAGGCATATCTCGACCCACCTGTCCATACAGACTGGTCCTGTGTCACATCTGAGGCCCGCCGTGTCTGGCGTCCTCCCTCCGCCACAGACCGCGCCTGTAGCGTTGGTCGCTGCTCGCTCGCCTGGGCGGTGGCGCCCCGCGTGACCCCCGCCCCCCCCCCCCCCCACCACAGACACCTCCTGTACCGTCGGTTCCGCTTGCTCGCTCCGGCGGCGGCGCTCCACGTGACCCCTCCCCCCCCCCTCCACCACAGGCACCTCGTGTACCGTCCCGTACCGGTGGCCGCTCGCTCAGCTCGGCGGCGGCGCCCCGTGTAACCCCACCCCCTTCCACCACAGACCCCTCCTGTACCGTCGATGGCCGCCCGCCCGCCTCGGCAGCGGCGCTCCACGTGACCCGCCCCTCCCCGGCAGGTCTGACCGGCTCGGACGCCGGCTGCCGGCAGCTGATGGCCGCGCCCGAACTGCTGTCGGCGACTGAAGCAGCTGATGGCCGACGAGGCGTCGGCGGCGGCCAGCCGGGACGCGAGTCTGGCGCTGCTCAGCCTGTCGGGCCGGGCGGCGGCCGCGCAGCCGCTGCTGGCGGCGCCCGGGCCCGACACGGCCGCGCTGCTGCTGCGGCTGGCGGCGCGGCCCGACAGCGCACTGGCCGACCCCTGCTGCATGACGCTGTCGAACCTTAGCCGCGCGCCGGCGCCGTGCCGCGAGCTGTGGCGCCGCCTGGAGGAGGGCCCTGTCACCGTGGACGACCTGGTGACGGCCCTCTGCCAGCGCGACTACAACACGGCCGGGTGTCACCTGAACTACCTGGGGCCGCTGCTGTCCAACCTCACCCAGCTGCCCGAGGCCCGCCGGTACGGCCGCCGCCGAGCCTCGGGCGCCGACGGCGCGGCGCTCGTAGCGGCGTGTGTGCCCATGTCCGGCCACGCTGACACGCGGGTGCTGGAGTGCCCAAGGGTGCTGGGGCTTGTGCTCATGGTCCTACTTCCGCGTGTTGTCACTGCTGTTTGTTATGAACCGCCCGGTGCGCACCGAGCAGGAGAAGCCATTGTCGGTCATTCAGCCCCTGTCAGCCATTCAGCCACTGTCAGTCATTCAGCCACTGTCAGCCATTGTCTGTCATTCTGTCAGCGGGTAACCTACGAACTACGATGGCGTATTATGCCAGCGCCCGACGTCGGCGCGCCCTAAAACTTCAGCCGTCATAAATGTGTCAGTGTCGCCATGCTGCCTGACAAAGTACAGAGCTCTCCATTTGGTTGTTTCGGCGTCTGACCTTACCCGTGGAGTACAGCCTTTGGCACCATTCTGTTGACAGGTACATGCTGAGCAGGGATCGAGTGCTGTTTCAGCGCCTGTTGCCCTTCACAGAGTACAAGGAGTCACTGGTGCGGCGAGGAGGCGTCGTCGGCGCCATCAAGAACTGCTGCTTCGAAACAGGCATGTATCGTGCGGATAGAACGCGAGCCAGGCACGGCTCTGCCGCGCCGAATGATGAACGGTCCGGCCAGGCGACGTTGACTGGCGTCGCCGTGCCGTTGCCGTGCTTGCCGCGTCGGAGGTGAAGGCTAACATCCACGTGTTATGATGCGGATGATGTATGCTGCATGTGATGTCTCGGTGGCGTTGTGCCATGCTCAATTATTTTTGTATGATTGTACGCTGCCCCTATCTCGGAGTTCGCCGCTTAACCACATCAGCAGATATATGGCTGTGTTTGGTCCGTGCCGTCTGTCGGCCCGACGTCAGCGGCGACTCTGCCGCCGCAGAGAGCCACCTGTGGCTGCTGGGTGACGAGGTGGACCTGCTGCCGCGGCTGCTGCTGCCGCTGACCGGCCCGGAGCCGTACGACGACGAGGACATGGAACAGCTGCCCGTCGACTTGCAGTACATGGACGAGAGCAAGACGCGGGAGCCCGACGTCGACATACGCCGCATCCTCCTCGAGGCCATGACACAGGTGCGCGTTGATGTGAAGCCACCTGACCTGACCTGACCTCACTTCACTTAATTTCACCTCACCTCACCCCACCTCACCTCATCTCATCTCATCTCATCTCATCTCACCTCATATCACCTCACCTCACCTCACCTCACCTCACCTCACCTCACCTCACCTCACCTCACCTCACCTCACCTCACCTCACCTCACCTCACCTCACCTCATCTCACCTCACCTCACCTCACCTCACCTCACCCGAGCCGGTGCTCCGATGGCCGCCTGCCCCGGCTAGAGCTCTCCCGACGCCGGCTCTCTGGCGCCTCGGTGCACACACCGAGCGGAGGTCTCGCAGCACCCCCCCCCCCCCCCCCCCCTAAGAACCGTGCGGTATCGCGACGTGCGAGGCCATGCTGGCTGGCACTGTTCCCAGAGAAACGCCCGCTGGGCGGGTGTTCGTGACGTCGATGTTGGTGAGCGCCAGTGTGCATACATGTCGTAGACACCCCTGAGACCCAAGCTGAATAATTCGGGGTGAGGGACAGAAAAGCCCGGTGGGATCTCTGCTAATAGGGGAAGCATGGGAACAAGGCCGCTGAGCCGGAAAGATGGGACAGAAGTGAAACGAATAAACTGTATTCGTTTCACTTCTTCGTATAAGGAAGGTAGCAGCTTACGCTGCTCGGACGCGGATGGTGTCATGCCATCTACAATGGCCGTATCGGGCGATGAGGGGACTAAGGAAATACACACAGAATGACAGTGGGGCAAATGGTGGGAGAATGTTACATGTGCTCTGCAGGCGTCGCTGCTTCCTGTGCGTCGTCTCGTCCCCCTTTGTCCCGTCGCATGACGCGTTTGTTAGTTCATCGCTCTATCGCCGGGTGTGGCGTGCCGTTCACGTCTGATGCATACCGCCGGCCAGTAGCCTTATTATCCACGGATTGTTGCTATGATTTTTTATTCTGACATTCTTTGCTGGCCTGTTTTCACGTTTTATTTTTGTTTAGAATTCTGCCAATATCTATCTGCTCTCCATATATTTCTGCTGTCCTTGTATCGGTGGGTTCTGTTTCCCTCCATGTTCCTTCACATACCATGCACATTTATACCCACACATTTCTCACGACTTTGCGCTGGGAAGTATGACGCCATTGAAAGCTTCCCGATGTGAACTCTTGCGCCTACAAGTGTCCAACACCGACACTTGTTTACACGCGTCATCCGCCCGGCTTGGACAGCTGCGCACGGCTGGGTACCGTCTGAACACTTGCATCCACGGTAGCACCGATCAGCTGCGCGAGCCAGTCGGAGGCCCAAGCTGCACACATCGGCTCTCGGGCGCGTCCGACAACGGTGTCCTCAAAGTGTCGCGACCGAACGTGTTTTAACCGGGATTCGAACCCGGGCGCCCACGTGGGAGTCCAAGGCGCCAACCACTCGGCGACCGCGCCCCCGAGCGGTGCTGGGTGACGCGTCGCACTCACCGACGGCCTCGCTGGCAGCTGTGCGCGACGACAGACTCGCGCGAGCTGGTCAGGGGCAAGGGTGCCTACCTGATCCTGCGCGAGTACCACAAGTGGGAGACGGACGAGGAGGCGCTGCGGCTCTGCGAGGAGCTGGTCAACATCCTCATCAAGTAAGGGACGCGGCAGACCACGTGGGCGCTAGTGCCAGCTCGCCAGGCGTTTGGTGATGCTGGTTTGATAGTGAACGCGTCTGGATAGTGCAGGGAATGTGAGAGTGATCGCCGCTTGGACGTGCCTGGCCGTGGTGAGCGGGGTGTTTTGCGCAGTGGGCTTCAAGCTGGCGTCGGCGGAGCTGCGCCGCGCCGCTTCTGATTCGCTGTCTCTGACCGGTGTTCCGGTGGGCCCCGTGTTGCCGCGTCTGGTTCGCTGTCTCTGACGGGTGTTCCGGTGGACCCCGTGAGGCCGCGTCTGTTTCACTGTCTCTGACGGGTGTTCCGTTGGGCCCCGCGGCGCCGCGTCTGCCTCACTGTCTCTGACGGGTGTTCCGGTGGGCCCCGTGTTGCCCCGTCTGCTTCGCTGTCTCTGACGGGTGTTCCGGTGGACCCCGTGGCGCCGCTTCTGCTTCACTGTCTCTGACGGGTGTTCCGGTGGGCCCCGAGACTCCGCGTCTGTTTTACTGTCTGACGGGTGTTCCGTTGGACCCCGTGGCGCCGCGTCCGTTTCACTGTCTCTGACGGGTGTTGCGGTGGGCCCCGTGTTGCCCCGTCTGCTTCGCTGTCTCTGACGGATGTTCCGGTGGACCCCGTGTTTCCGTGTCTGCTTCGCTGTCTCTGACTGGTGTTCCGTTGGACCCCGTGTTACCCCGTCTGCTTTGATGTCTCTGACGGGTGTTCCGGTGGACCCCGTGTTTCCGCGTCTGCTTCGCTGGCTCTGACTGGTGTTCCGGTGGATCCCGTGTTGCCGCGTCTGCTTCGCTGTCTCTGACGGGTGTTCCGGTGGACCCGGTGGCGCGGATCACAAGACGCGATGCCGCGCCGCGTCGGACCGTGCCGGTCGGTCTGCGCTGGTTAAGGCAATGGCCAGCCGTGGTACTAAATCTATTTGGCCCGACACCCGAGGTCCCGTCGCGATTGGGATAATGGCCCAAGGATTTGCCGCCCGATGTGACGACCTGATCACGTCGGCGTCACGGAAGGCTACTCGTCGCTTCGTCAGGGTGGCGGCAGGTTAAGAAATCGGTGTCACGTCTGCAACGGGACGCAATTGTAACGTGTTCGTCCTTGTTAAAGTGAGTCTCGTATCTGAGTGCTATCAGCAGAGGACAAAGCGTGCTTGGGCAGCATACCCCGGGCGTTTTTACAGCATGTGTTATTGTTTTAAAGAGGTCGGGGTATCATGATTTGGTCAAGACAAGATTCATTGCATCATATCTCGTATGACGTCACACCAAACTGTTAACCAGGCAGCAGCGGCGGCTGGCGGCCATACCGGTGTCCGTTGGCGTTGTTATTCCTGATCATGTGGCACATGTCTTTCTGCACAGTCCGGCATGCAAAAACCTGACTGGCAAATCGCATTCAAGGCCATTTTCTCGTAATGCATAGCAATCTGGCTTTCTCAGTTTAAACTACGTTTTTCACACAAAGGCGAAAGACTTCCCGTAATCCCGTACTTATTGATGATAAATGTAGGCTGATGCTCCAGATGCGCCACTGACAAGGCGAGAATGACTGCAATATGATTTGCTATGGCTGTGAAGACATGGCCTGCCGGGATTTGAGCGTACACAGTCGTCCTAGTTTAGTGAAGGTGCAGTCCAGTGATAACGGTACATGGGACGACCAGGACCCGTCATGGTCTGGTATGCGAACGTCACTGGTCCGGCCGCCGGGCCTGCTGGTACCGCTTCAGCGCAGTCTATTGGCTGACGGTCGACGTCCTGTGGTGTTTGTGTCGCTCCGCAGCCCGTGACTGGATTGCTCTTGTGATTTGCTCGACTGATCGGCGGTCCGTGGCCGGTGTTGTCCCGTGTTCTGCTGTCATTGTCAGTGCGGCTGCCGACAGGACGGAGCCCGAGATCGGCGTGGACAACCTCAAGGCGGTGGACATCCCCAGCGACGTGGCCGCCCGGCTGGACCAGGTCACGTGACCACACAGGCCGCACGGACGCCTTCTTTTCAATATATTTACAACAACTTGGACTTGTGCTGTACATGAAAATGAAAGGCTCGGACAAACCATGAATGAAACGATTTTGATTCGTTTTCACGTGCGCCGCCGGCTGGACGCCTGCGGCGTACAGAGCCGCACCGCGGCAGACAGCAGGCGGCGGCGCGCCGCCGGCCGCTGGCGCCTCCCCCTATGTACACGGCGCGCCGGCGGCCAGGCGGACGCCACACAACTCAGGGACGCGCGCGCGCGAACCGACGGTGCTTTTGGCACGGCGGGACCACAACAAACAAGAACGCGACGTCGAAAGAAGCTCTCAGATCCGGCGGCCGGGCGACGCGCTCGCGGGAGCGCGAGCGGACGCCGCGGCCCGGGCGGCGCACCAGACAGGTCGGACCGCGCGCAGAACAAATGCAGCCGCGCAAAGCCGGTGCGGAGAACAATTGCGGTCGCGGGATGCCGGCGCGGGGACGCGATGAGAATGTTATGAACACAAAACGACACAAAATGGCTCATGAGATGCAAAAGGCATTGTCCTCAGAATAGAAGCATGCATTGTTCGCGAGCGGCATCCGAAATGTACAGCAGTCAACACTGACCTATCAACATCTCTTTATATCAAATAAATCAAATATTGTACTCTCCGTAAGGTAGTCAACAAAAGAAGGAAAATATCCGATCCAATTAATTTAAATAAAACAAACACATTACGCTTACTTATAAATATTTGGACCAAATGGATCCACAACACTGATAGGTTTCTCTCTCTCTCCCACCCTTTCACTCACGTATTCTTCGCACTCGCGACGACATCCGCGCATACGCTCGCTCGCACTGTCACGCTCTCTCCTATCTCTCCGTCTGCCGCGCGCGCGCACAAGTCTCAAACACTTGTATGGACACGTTTGTTTTCACTGCCGGCGGCGGCGGCGGCAGCGGCCGGCGGGCGGACTGGCAATACTGCAGTCTGGGGCCTGCCGCGGGCCGGCTATTGCATGAAGCCGCCGTAGTCGGGTTGGTCGCCCTCTTTCTCGAACCGCTTGGCCTCCTCTTGCATGCTCTCCTTGATTTTGAGTATCGCCGCCGACTCGTTCGAGTCCTGCCGACACAGGGGGAGTTGTGAGCGGCGGACGTGCGGGCTACGAGGGTCGGCCGCACCGGCGGCGACAGGGCCCCGCGCCGCTCGCAGCGCAGCGCGCACGCCGTGACGACCAGGCAGCCAGGCCGCATCAGAGGCGCTGCAAGAGGAGTGCTGGTGAGTGTCCAGACACGTGGAGGCGGTCCGTCACCTAACCCGGGTGTGTCATGTTTGTTGGGGCGCGGCAGATCATGACGCGTGGCCGGCTCCCGGGGCAGCTGGCATCCGCGCTGACGGAGGGGCCGGCGGGTCGGCTCTCGTGCCGCCGCCCTAGCCCTGCGGGCATCCGCGGCGACGGCAGGACCCCGCCCAGTCTAGGCCACGTCCTCGGCAGCGTTGTGAGGCTCCGCCAACGGCAGGACGGTACGGGCGGCTCCCGGGTAAGAATGTGAGAAGCACTTCAACAAGGCATCAACCCCGAAACTTGATCGCGAGCTATTTTAAATCAGGGGTATGCTTTTATGCCAACCAACTTTCGATTTTGTGTATTTTGTAGGCCTTGCCGGCTTTGCTACAGCCGTTGTGCCAACTTGATGGTCAAGCACCGCGCCAGTAGAAGCTGAGATAGCATGCAACGACATTCACTGCGCTCTCATACTCGGACGCTATGAAGTGCCGCCGCCGGCACGCTTCCGAAAAGTCAAACTAGTGCTCGATATTTTTACCCTCCAAACCACGCATCCGACTGAGACCAGAACGTTCACGGCCGGGTGCGACGACACTACTGGCTTGTCGTGCCCCTTGAAGAATGCAGCTCCGTGGCCACACATCGCCGGCATTTTAAACGGCATCCTCTGCCGGCCGTTCCCGTAACTCATGTCCTCGATCGTTTGCATACGATGTCGCTCGTTGCCTCGTCGGATAATGTATTCTAAGTCCTCTCACATTCATCGGGAATGAATCGGTCGCTTCACTCCCTGGATCATACCAGCGACTGAACAGCAGACGGGATCGCTTAGCGTGTCCCAGACGCATAGTTAACAGGACACGGGCAGCGGTCAAACAGGCCCCGAGTATCGGCAAGCAGGCCGGAGATAGCACTGCGCAAATGTGACCTGCGTTAACTGATAACGAGTCCGCTGCAGATTCAAGGTGGTGTATCTTGAACATCAGCATACACCTCAGCGGGCTTTAAGTCTTTGTCTGGTCGTCACATGATAGCAGCGGGAAATAATTACGCCAGCAATCGATCAGGCTGAGACGATGACAAAACGTACCATTTGGCAATGCGCCCGAGGCAAATCTTGTCACTGGTTGCATGTCTGCGACCATCCCTCAGCTCTCCGATACAATGCGTGCTCTTTCTGTTGCGCTACCAGCGAGTTCCACGGGGCTTCGAGGTAGGGGCGATGCCGACGCTCGGCGCCGCACGGCGGCCGCCCCCAGCGCCATCTACCGCGGAGCCTGCCCCGTCTACCGAGTCGCGCGCTCACCCGCTCCACTCTCCGGCCCCGATAAAGGCAACAACAACGCCCGTGTTGTGTATTTGATGGAAACCATTCTCGGTCAGTGAGTACCACAGTCAAAACAGCAGAGCGCAGCCGAGCACTGGAGTGGCGGGCGGCTCCCTCGTCGCGCCCGGGGCGGGCGGGGAGTTCAGGTCGTGCCCGCGGGCGGGGTGGTCGGAGGTGCCTCTCTCTCGGCGCGCTCGGGGCCCGGTAAAGCGTCCGCTCGCCGCGCCAGCCGCAGCCGGCACGAACACCGCGCGGTCCTCACCGGCCCGGCGCCACGCTGGCCGGCCGTCCGACACGTGCCCTCTCTCTCTCTCCCTCTGTCTGCGGCCGCGCGCCGGCCGACATGCAGCGTCGCGTCCGTGCGTCCCTCTCTCTCCCGGTCTCGGCATGCAGTGTCTCCGGCCGGCGCCGCTCGCCGCGTCACTCCCAGGAGCCGTGCCGCGCCGGCGACCACTGCCAGGGCCGGAGTCGCGCCGGCCGGCCGGCCGGCGAGTCCGGCTCACTCACATTGCTCTCGGGCGGTCCGGCGTAGTTGGCGATGCTGTACTCCTGCAGGGCGCCGTTGTTGCCGTCGTCGCGTGGCGTGCCCGGCCCGTTGGCCGGCGAGCTCTTCATGCCGTCCATCTCGCCGTTCATCACGGGCGGGTGCGGACCGTCCGGCATACTCGTCATCGGGTACTCCTGCCGGCCGGCACGCACACGCCGCTCACGGGCTGGTCGGGACGCGCGCGAGCGCAACGCAGGCTACGGGTGCAGCGGCCCCGTCACCATCCGATCCCCGTAACATCAGTGTCAAGCACTGGTGGCAGCTATGGTTATGGTCATGTGTTTTGTGTCAGGCATATTCACCGCACCATTGACGTCAGGAGCAAAACCGTGCGTTGCGTTGTCGCCCAATGGGATGTACCGAGTTTTCGCGCCGTTAAAACGCGAACCAAGCCAAATCAGACATGGCAGAGCCCAACTGAGCAAGCCTCTCCTGGCACCACCTAGCTGCTGCCAGAATTTTGCAGCAATCTACAATTGCAATTTGCAGCAATCGGTCCCTTACAATTTTAAAGCAATGTAATGACAAAGCCGTGCCGATGTTTGGTTTCTCTGTCACCTAACTCAAATCACGTTAGTTCCTTCGACATGAGAAAATGCAACGGACGATCCATATGAGCACAAACCACCCCGACGTTCGGTTCCTTCGTAACCCGGGCCGAATCGTATCATACCCTCCACAAGGATTGACGAGGATAAATGAAGAGCTTAAAGGGAATTTTTCACGTAGATATTGAAGCAACCATTATATATGATGAAATAAGCTCACTGCTAACTCTTGGTATAGTTTATAGTAGAAACTCTGCTTTAGGCAATGCAAGTTCTGTTCAGTAGATATGCTCTTCAACACGCCATTGTTTAATTGCGGCATCGTACCTTGCAAAACATTGCTTGCGAACCAATTGACGGCCGTTATATCTGGCAACCATGCTCCCGAACGCCGAACTGAACGACTCGACAATCATATTTTTATAAGCCTTGATCGCCGCATGGATAACGGAACGGCATGATTTTAAAGACGTTATTATGACACATTGAATGCCAGAATGACCTTGACATGGTCTCCCGAAATAGTCTGCGCAGCTCGGCGGGCGTGTAGCCCAGAAACTCGAGGGCTTTAGGTCTTAATAAGGGCAGGGCTGTACGCTGCACCGAATGATCTTCAAGATGGCTATTACAGTGCAAATCCCTATACAAATGTAGAACACTCCCTTTAACTGGGGCGATGCTCGCCGGAGCCAGGCCGGATGTGGCGACGCTGACAGCCGCTGCCGGCGGGTAAGACTGATGACTGAACAGTCAGCAGGTCCATCCCGGCATATCCCACCTCCCGCTCCCCGCCAGGATGAGAGACAGGCGCCGCCGTACAGCCTCAGCAGCCCAGTGCGTCGTAAAGCCCCAGTGGCGACGACAACGCTTCTCAAAGAATTGACGCCTGCCATTAACTGCATTGAAAGGACAGGTCTTACAGGAATTACGATAAACCGCCGAACTTCATTCACCCTGGTTTGCGCAGCTGCACAGATGTTTAACCAACGTGACGCGCGCGCCTTCCTTTACACTATCGCGTGAAAATACATCAAATGGTGCATTCGACCAAGTCAGAATAGCGGGGCGAGGTCGGCATACACAGAAGCCATGCCTGGTAATGCAGACAGGAGCAATTCAGGGCAATGGATGGCTCGTGAGAAGCTGATAACAATCTCCATATAGCGGAATGGAATCAAGAAGGCGCTGGCAGCGCAGAGTTAGATCCCGCAACACCGACACTAAATAGCACCGGGTGGGTTGGAGCCAAGTCGGCAGTGTAAAGATCTTCGCCGCACAATGACAGGGTGTCAGTCGCCCACGTCGCTTACGCCCATGCAAACGACGAAACTGATATGTTCATGCGATATGTAGGCGAAGCAATGATGCGGGCAACGTTCTTTAAACCCGCTTCTGCCCTGTTTTGCGAGACAAGCTATAGCAATGGTAACACGCGTGAGATATGTGGGTGCATGCATTATGGCCAGAGAACGAGCGGTTGTGTTGAACATGGCAAGGAATCCACTCTGCAATTGTGCAAGCAGCAAATAATTACAATATCCGAACCAATTTCGCGTTCATAGTTCAGTGATTTTCAAAAAGCATCAGTATGAGCGCTCTCGATTTTCAGTAATTCTATCTGAAAGACATGAAACATTTTGCCAGGGATGCCGTCCACGATTTTGGATCGCCACATTTATATCTCGTTCAAAGGAACGAAAATAAATCAATTAGATGACTCAGCTGGAGTTTGCAACAGTACTTCGATCCTTCAGATATTACTGTCAGCATGAAACGCTATCTGCAGAAGAAAAACTGGCATGTTTCGAATTCCATCGTTGCACATCTCCCCTGACATTACTCAGTTTTCATGGGAAAACCTGACCATCATTCCCTTAACTATGCGCGCTGCAATCAGAAACCAGCACTAAACTGGGACCCCAACATTGCCCACCAAATTTCCCGGACAGAACGGGTGTTATCTTGTCGCTTTGATCGGCGTACATCCAGTGTCCACAGATTACCACGCCATTTTGGCATTAAGGTTGGGGATCACAATGACGTCTGCGCAGTCAACCCCTCCACAGACCGATGGCCCTGCCGCACATATCCGCTTATCTATTACGGGGCCCGATCACCAATCCGGAGGCACGTTATTCCGCGCGCACGTGCACGGCCCGTTTCTGCTCCAGCCTCCTGACCATACTCCGGGCCCCACACCATTACAAAGATCCAACCATAGAAGATATGTAAGAGACGGAGCTTTGGGCTTACGCAGTGACAAAACATCTTGCCACTCGTGATGTTTCCCGTCATTGGGCTTTTGGCTCAACAGTTTCCCAAGCTCTTACGGCGGTATCCCATAATCAAAGTGGGATAGGTATTCCTCATCGTCTGAAATGGTACGCTGGTGCGTATATCATTTAATAAATGCTTCACTCATTAACGGATGCTCGAAGAACAGCGCAACAAAAACTTATAACCCCAAATCTGCACCTTTTTATGCTGCACACTACGGCTGAAGGCAGGGCAGGATTTCAGTAAAGGGAACGACATGCAAATCGTGACCAGAACCATTCTTGGAGATACATTTTTGCGCGCGCGTTTTTACACAAAATCGGGTAACTTCTGATGCTTTTCGGATACGCTCTATGCCACGTCACTTCGATGCGTTATTTCTCATTTTTCCCTAGATATCTGAGCTAAAAAGCTTTCCACACCAAAGCCGAATTGGAGGCCAGTTTTAAGTACTCCAATCACAAGGCAGATCTCATTCCCATACAAATTATCACGTAAGCTACATGTTATCGATTGCCGAACGTTAAACCGTGAAATCTGAATAAATCAAACCGTTTCGGTCTGGAACGCGTTTCTTAATTCACCACACAAACCGATGCAAACCACAGCGGGGTTGAACAGTGTCTCTCAGCCGGACGAGATGAACGAGGAGCATTTATCCTCTGTTGAACACCGTGGCCCAGTCGTAAAAATGGCATCATCGTGCCGTTTGCGGTGTCCAGCACTTCGATCGCGTGACGGTTCTGGACAGTTGCATACCGTAAGTGGGAGAGATATCAATTACCCAACCGTCAGCGTCTTTGCACCCGGTGATGCTTCGCGTCGGCATCGTCGCCGGTGACAGCGACAGTCTGAGGACGTGGCGTGAGCCGGGGGTAGGCCGGAACCGTTCGCAAGAGCCCGGCACGGACGACGGCAGCGGTCCGCGCCGTCCGTACCTCGGCACACCCACACCGGCGCGCGCCGGCCGCGTACTCACGCCGTGCATGGAGGGCGCGCCGCCGGGCACGGGCTTCATCATGCCGTACATGGGGTCGCCGGCCGGGCCGTGGTCTTGTGGGCTGGGCATGATGGGCGTGCCGGGCCCGGGCGGTACCCCCGGCGGCACCTGCGCAGCGGGGGCGGGGGGAGCCGTCAGCCAGCGCACCACCACCACAGCGGCGGCCACGCAGCCGACCAACACACATCGGCCGGCTCATGCCACGCAAACCACGCGTAACCGCACGCGCTGCACACGTGGTAACGGCATCGTACGCGGGACTGTGGCGCGAACAACGCCGCGGAGGCTGCAACGGACCTTCGTTCAAGCATGACTGACGTGACATATGATATGACACATGACATGACATGATATGACATGACATATCAGGGAAACATGTACCCTAGAAGGCTACGCTCATTGTGTGCCTCCCCGCCTCCCTTTTTCATGCCGCGTTTTGCTCGGCTGCAGTACCGCGTCTTTGCACAAGCGCACACCGCCCATATAACCGGCACCGATACCGCCCTCCGCACGCGCCACGCATCGGCACACCTGGCGGCAGACGGCCGGGCGGGCGGCACTGGACACCGCCGCCGGCCGAAGCGGCGCGGCGAGCGGCCGGTACTCACCGACGAGCCGTGCGGCCAGTGGGGTCTGTGGGGCGCGCCGGGACCAGCCATCGACATCGGCACCTGGCCGGGGCCCGGCCCCAGCGCGTTCGGTGGCGGGCCCCGCATGCCCGGCGGACCGTACGCCTGCATGCCCGGACCCATCGGACCCATGCCCGGGCCCATCGGGCCCCGCGGGCCCACCATGCGAGGTCCCATACCCGGTGGACCTCCTGAAACAGAGGCGGTGTCAGCGCGCTGGCGATGGTAGCGACGAGCTCGCGCCGAAAGGCGCATGGTTTTCAGCCAGTGTTACAGCAACGTTCGACGAAGTTTGAGTCTGGATGTACCCGCAGCTGGCGTAACACCGGCAGCACCGGCGGAGAATACGGAGACGGGCACAGATAAGTGGGAGACGGACACAGATATGTGGGACTTATCGAGGTGCAGGCTGCCATTCAGTGCCACAAATGGGTGCCACAAATACCACTACGTGCATGGTACAAACAGACCAAATCTCGAAAAGACAGGGTGTGCAAATACAAGGACACAACGGCAAAAAAGCTATTGGGAAAAGGCCGGCAAAATGGAGCAAGAGGGAACAAATTGCGCAAAGAAAATGCTCAGCAAAGCTATTTAAGCAGCACAACACTGCAAGTCACGCCCAAAATGTGAAAGGCGAACTTGTTAATCGGAGCCAAATAACCAGCGTCAAAACATGGCGCGGACCAAACGGTCCACACCGGATGCGTGGGACCGACCCGAACCACCCGCTCGAAGCCGTCTCAAACGCCCCGCACGTCCACGCCCAGACATCGCTGGTGTCCAAACCACGCTAGCTCGTGAAGCGGGCGGGAGGGGGATGTGGGAGCGTTCCCACAGTGCCGCAAGCTAGCCGGAAGCGTGCTCTGCGTGAATAGCTGCCCGGAGCCGGTCAGGACGGGAGTGCCAGCGCCCGTGCCCTGTTCGATACCGGTGGGCGGGCCACGCGACACCCCCGCCCGTGGTGGCGACGACTCGGGGCTTTTTGGCGGTGTAACTGTCCGGCTGGATGTTGCCCGCATCTAGCGCGTTACGTGGAGAAGCCGGGCCGGCCCCGCGTACCGAACAGGACCCTGGGTCAGCCGGACAGGGGCGGCTGGCGGACGCCCGGCTCGCCACACGGCGTTACGAGGCACACAGACGGACAAACGCACACACACCCACACACAGGCAGGCGCGGGGCAGGGGGACGGCGGCGAGCCAGCGCCAACTCCAGCCTACCTTGCCAACCTAAATACTCGCCGTCTCCGCCTACGGACAGAGGGGAAGCACGCATTAAAGTCAGCCGGGCACGGACGTCCACAGGCGCGGCGGGCGACCGTCTGACCGGCCGGCACACAGTCCTGCCCGCTCCCTCCCCGGCCCCGGCCCCGCGCGCCCCGGCCGCCCACGCTCACCTGGCCGCGTCGGGTCCATACTGGAGGGCATCATCGGCTGGCCCGGCGGCTGAAAGGAGAGCGGCGGCGTCAGTCTTACGGTGTCACACTTACGGCGACACACGCTGGCGGCGCGGGGCGGCGGCGATGCGTGGCGCACATGTGGCGAGTACGGCGCCGGGACCATCGGCACCGCTGACTGACACACCGCCACAGACACCGCTGGGCACCGTTGGTCGGCAAGGCCCACGTGAAGCCTGCACCGGGCCGGATGGCGACACTGAGCCGTCGGCTAAACAACCAAGACGAGGCGCGACGCATCGGCGGGCGAACGGAAATGCTACGGCGGTCGTGCGGCCCAGTCCGGCCGAGCCCCGGAGCACGAGGCCTCGCCTACGAGCCGCGCGCCGTCGCACCACTCACCCCGTTAAACTCCGCCATGTTGCCGGGCATTCTCACACCCGGCCGGGGCCCGCCAGGAAACCGAGGAGACATGTACTGCAAGCACAAGGAAACGGCCGTCATCGATACGGTTACCCTGCCGGCCGCAGCAACACACAGGACACACACATACACACAAACACACAAGGCGGTGCCTCGCTTTCTGCCAACAGAATGTCAAGAGCTGGCCAGTCGCTTGGCGAGTCTTCCCAGATTGGACAACGTGGCTGGCGACGGCAGGCCGTCGCAGATCCCGACTAACCCAGCTGACGCAACGGCGAGACCGGCAACTGTGGCCGAACCGCGACAGCTGCCGTGGCGGCTGCTGCAAACGATCTCTTACCCTTATGCAACACTGCCGTCCATAGTCAAAAAGGCGAAGTGCAATTTACCCTGATGGTGTGCAAGCCTTCTGCCTTTAGACAGCGTATAAGTTGGCAGCCATGTACCAGGAGCCCCAAAATATCCCAGGACTCCATTTACAGGGAACCCTGTGACATTCTACATATACCGTAGGTATCCTAGCACATTTCTATTGGTTGAAACTTAGTTGGTAGGCATGGATCAATATGAGTACTTGCGTCTCCGAACTTTTCCAGTAAATTCGAAGCATCGCAATGCACAACTTCATCACTTATCTAGCCAACCCACCGCTCTCTTCTCTTTCAGTACACCCCCTACCGACTCACGTCCCCCCCCCCCCCCCCATAACCTCTGCGATGCCCAGCGACGACCCGGCACCGCCGTCGTGCCATCCGCGTCCGACCGGCGTCGGCGGCGTCGGGCGGCCGCCTCCGGCCGGCCGGCCGGCCAGCCACGCCGCTGGCGCCGGAGCCGGAGCCGTACCTGTGACGCGATCATGGTGCCGTGCGGCACCGGCTGGCCGGGCGGCGCGTGCGGTGACGACTGTGACGACGGGTGAGACTGCGGCGACGGCCGCATGTTGGAGTTCTGCAACAGCGACGCACAGGTACGGCGCGTCAGGAGACGCACGAGGCGGCCGGCACGAGAGCTCGTCGCCAGCGTCGCCGGAGCGGGGTGTGTGCGGTAACAAACGCCGCTTCGCAGGGCGCCCCGCTGTCTGCCGCTCGCAGCGGTCATCAGCTGGCTGATTAGGCTGGTGCATGGCTGCCCCTCCCCAGGCGGAACCGCTGTGGTGTTAATTGTTACAGCCCCAGCCCCGTGCAACGATGATGCGCGTGGTGGTTCCTACAACACGCAAGCACCTGCGCCATCTATGCACCGACAGCCCAACTAACAACACCGAGAGCGCCGTGGCGCACCTCTGCCGCCTACCGGCCGGGCGGAGAAGCAAATTACCTATCGACGACGGCGCGGCCGGCCGTTCCGCGGCATCAGTGAACGCCTACTACGATTGACGACCTCGCGAGTACGCGCGGTCAGCGGGCCGGCCGGCCGGCGCGCCCCGGCCGGCGCCGCGGCGGGCCCAGCCGGGCACCGGCCGCACTCACCGGGAAGAAACCGGGAGGCATGGCACCCTGCAGCTCGCCGGGCGGCATCTGACCCAGTGGCGACGGCGCCGCGCCCGCGCTCTGCAACACACGCACACGCGCCTGTCACAGGCGGCAGGCTGGCCACGCTGCAGCTGAGCCTGTCCGGAATACGGGGACAGACGTGCAACGATAATCCACACAGTCAAACGCAAGCACACAAACCGACTGCCGCAGGGATGATCGGACCTCCACCGTCGTGCAGCACCGCCATACACGCCGTCATCTCTCGGCAACTTGAACACGCAGGCCGACGCCATGCTGCATCACCGATGTACGACACACCGTCCACAAGCCGCAAAACCAAACATCAAACAACCACCCTCAACACACCGCAACATATATTCGCTGGCTCTGGCGCCATGCAGAGCACTGTTGCATGGTGCTCTAAAGGCAGAGAAAGTTGCTCCAATCTACCGGCGTGAAGCGTCGCCATCAGCCTGCATATTGCGTAGAAGAAATAGCGATCCTCCAAACGAGCTGGCCAGTTCATTTTGGCACTCGACTTACAAATCCCAGAAAGGGTACTCTACACCATGGTGTCCCGCCACCAAGTCAGCATGGGTTCTCCGCACGTCGGCGCCGCTGGCGGAGGTGCCCAGCAAGACATATGTCCGGCGTAACGCCGCGCCGGCCTGACAGGAGGCGCCTCGTCCCACCCCACCCCGGCTCGGGCCGCGGGTCGATCTGGAGCCGTACCGTGGGCCGGACCCCGCCGATGCGACCCGCACTAATCCTGCCCGGAATAGACCGGAGTCGGGGCATCTCCAACAGCGGAGGACCCGGACAACAGCATCAGGGGAGGTACGAGACATACTCCCTCAGCGCCGACGTGGACCGACTCTGCCGGCCGTCAGCGGAGGAGCCGGACAACAGCATCAGGGGAGGTACGGGACATACTCCCTCAGCGCCGGCGTGGACCGACTCTGCCGGCCATCAGCGGAGGAGCCGGACAACAGCACCAGGGGAAGTACGGGACATACCCCCCTCAGCGCCGGCGTGGACCGACTCTGCCGGCCATCAACGGAGGAGCAGGACAACAGCATCAGGGGAGGTACGGGACATATCTCGTCAGCGCCGAAGTGGACTAACTCTGCCAATCATATATATCCCATAGACCCAGAAATGTCGAGCTTCTTCTGATCGGCGCTGTAATGCTTTCGCCAACAAATTTTGTAAGCAAGGAGGGCCCTCAGTTCTAATACTTCGGACACTATGCACGGCATTTTTGGCAGTGCAGCAATCTGCTTTCACGGCGCTGAAAATCAAGTCCATATCGACTAGCAACTAACATCACCAAGATTTCGCTTCGACGGCAAAGAGCATTTCTCTTATATCCTGACGTGAGCGTGGAAACGTCTTCCTCGACTTCCATCAGCCTTTTGAAGTGTCAAACCACATCTAATGTGCATGTGGGTACAAAAGTTTTCCCCCCACACACCCATGCCAAAACGTACAGAAAGATGGAAAGTTGCTGTGACACATCGGGGCACATCGCGACCATTGGCGTTGCCGTGGCGACGCGCTGCCACCGCTCCCCTGTTCTGCTGGCCACCTGGAGCCGCGCGCCTGCAGCTGCCTGCCAGCGGCCGCCAGCCCACCGGGCCGGCCAGCCCGCCACCGGCCGGCGGGGTCGAGCCCGGCCGGCCCGTGCACCGGTCCAGCCAGGCTCGCAGCCGGAGCCGGAGCCGGAGACCAGCGGCGGAGGCGGAGGCGGAGGCGGCCACGCGCCGGTCCGTCGCTGCAGCCCGGCCTCACCCGAGCGCTGCAAGCCGGGCATGCCGAGGCGAATTGTCCCCCCCCCCCTGCCCGAGTCGGGAAATAGGGGACGGGACGGGACAGGACAGGACAGGACAGGACAGGACAGGACAGGACAGGACAGGACAGGACAGGACAGGACAGGACAGGCATGGAATGACAAAACATGACAGGACATATGACAGCACAGCGCAGGACCGGACAGCTCGGGCCAGACAAGACGGGACAGTCGCGGGCGTGCCGCACCCTCCGTCGTCACGTGACGTGCGTGCAGCTCAGTTGTTTGTCCATCCGACCGGCCGGCCGCCCGGCGCGTGACGTCACGGGTACCGGTACACATCGATTCCGCGGCGCGCGCGCCACGCCCGGCCCGAGGCGCCACGTGCCGGCCTGGGGCCGGGTCGCGAGGCGGCACGCACAGCCGCGCCCACCTCATGAGCGCCCCCCCCCCCCCCCCAAGACGCTATTGATCGGGGAGGAGGCGGAGGGCAGTCGCCGGCGGTCGGGCGGTGGCGGTCGCGCTCCCGCCGCGCGCCGCGCGCCGCGCCGGCCTTATTGACGTGCACAGGTCGATAGTGATGGGTCGGCCTCAGCGGCGGCGACCGCGGCGCCCGGTCACACGCGCGCCCCGCCGACGTGCTCACACACACACACACACACACCTGTTGCAGGGCTGCTCAGGGGCGAACCAACGCGTACCGCCCGCCCCCGGCCACCGGCCGCACGGTGCAGCCCCGGCCGCCGAGCACGAGGTTCCGTGTGTGCCGGCGTCCCCCTCCCCTCGACCTCTCGCCCCCGCCCGTGACTGCAGGGAGATGAGCGGCGAGAGGCGGTCCGCCGCGTCGCCCCTCCCGCCGCAGCTCGGGTGTTGACCCACTGCGCGCGTGGACGGAGAGCGGATGGCGCCGATCGCCGCTGGCCGGCTCCCTTGCGCCATCTATCCCGTCCAGCTGCTCCCGGCCACGACAAAGACGCCACGCTGGACAGATAGCGTTGCAACGTCGCCGTCGCGCTGGCCGCTCCGCCACGCCGGGACGCCGCCGATTTAAATGGTACCAAGCCCGCCGCCAGCAATACACGTGCAGTTTGTTAAATTTGACAGCGTTTTAAGTTGGTGGGGTCCAGCATGTGCGAGGGAAACGGAGCCGTGAAACGGATTTCCGTCGCTCATGGAGAGACGAAGAGTGCTCTGCGCTGTTGTGTCACGGTGTACCTACAGCACCACGCCAACCGTACCCTGGGCAAATCCCGATCAGCCGGGCCCAACGCAAATCTACCATTCCCACCGCACGCGATTCTCGTCCCTACCGGATTACATTGCCAGCCCCGCATCCAGGCTTTGTCCCGATCAATACGGTCGAGAATAGCTTGCGTTGGCCTCCCCAAGTCTCGGCAGCATTATTGATTTTCCAGGCTGTTCCCTATCCGGTTGTGACCACTGCCATAAAATCATAGCTTCAAAATGTACAGCGAAGCCTCTGACATCTCTACGCTCATACCAACGAATACAGTTTACATTCAACTGTCCCCAAGATTGAAAAGCACGAGGGTTACGGATAACAATTCAGTTTACGCCAACTTTTCAAGCCACCAATATGCGCAACATACGGCGCAGTCGCCAAATAGGAGTCAAAACATAGCAATGATGGGGCTGGCAGCAGGATCAGGAACATGGCCTAGCCAGGATATTCGAACACCCATAGAAGCCTGTTTTCTGGGTAAGCCATTTTTCAACAAACAGCCCATCACATCCAAGGTTACAGCATAGCGCCGTGAAAATAACGTTCCACCAAGACATCGTTCATAGTCCGCAAACGTGCCGACAAATTTGACGTCATCGAAGGCTCGGTTGCAGACTTCCAGACTAGTGTCAGTCATCCGCACCTTCCCTGCGTCGTTTCGACGGTCAGGCGGGCCATTTTGCTGGGCCGTCATTCACCACCGAGCGAGCGCCAGTCACGGACCCCCCACCGCTGCCGCACGCGGTCCGGGCACGAGGCACCCATTCAGCGGCGTGTAATCAGTTGCCGAACTCGCCACCGCCAACTTTTGCCATAAACACTGGCCGCGGGAGCCGAGTGAATGACCGCGGCGGCCAGCTGTGTCGCCGGCGCACGGCCGGCAGCCGGGGACGGCGCCCCGTCCCGACGCGCCACGCAGACAACCGCGTGACCTTGGCGGGCTTCCCTGTCGGCAGCCTTGGGCAAGGTCACCAGCGGCCTCAGTCCGCGGGAGGGGCGCGCTTAGCCCCCGACGCGTCGGCCAGTGCAGGACAGCGCCGCCGCGGTTCCCTGCCCGGTCCCCGCCGCAGCCCCGCCCGCAGTCGGGCCGGGCGGCGCGGGCGAGCCGGTGTCGCTGCGTACATCACTGCTCTCCCCCCCCCCCCCCCCCCCCCCTCCTGACCCCCGCCACCGACCACCGGTGTCCGCCCGCGACGTTTTGGCAGTTTGCCCGTTTCCTCTCCCGCGGCGAACCTATCAGCCATTTTTAGTGACGGCATTGCCCGTTGCTGAGCACCGGTGAAAGGGGACGGCTGGGCCACGACAGCACACGAGACCCACATCCGGCCACAGACGAGGCTGCCCATCGCGCAGGAGCTCGGGCAATCCCTCGCAGACGTTCATAACGACTGGGCATTGCACTCTTAAACTTGCCTATCCCTTCCCACCATAATAAGAAAGAAAAGAAAACTTCGAAGCAAACTAACCATGAGCAGTGAAAGCAAGCAAGCAAGCCTTTCTTCATCGGTGATTACCCAGATCGAATCAGCACGAATGAGACAGGTCACGGCTCACGTACACCATCCAAAAGGTCAATGCTGGTGACGATTTGGGTTTTAGGGCGCGCCGTCTGCATTGGCCATATTGGCACTAGGCCAAGCTGGGCTGCAATGGCCCATATTAGAGAACAAAGCGACCCACAACGACCATGCTAATAGCACAAAATCGCAGAAGCTAGATGCTTGGTTATATGAGCCTTTCGTATGACAAAACGTTCAACAATGGGGAAACACAGTGTTCGAATAGATCACACAATCCGTCATCTGTGCCATGTGGTCACGCGGGCTGGATGCACGCCTTACAGACCCTTGACACTTTACCGAGAAGTGAAAACGTGACATTCACAGGTACTCCACGGCCTCAGTCATACACGCAGTCCACCACACCAAACAGCACGACCACAACTGATTCACGCCTTAACCAGGCACCGCAAACTAATCCACCAAATGACCCACCGCCGAGGTAACGCCGCGAGTCGTCTGCCACCCAGTCCGGGTCACCAGTGCAGCTCACCGCGCCACCGAAGGACGCCGGGCGTGGCGCTGGCTCACCGCCGTTAAACACCCGCGGTTCCCTCCCCAGGCGCTCCACATTTCGGACCGTGCCGGGATCGGAGCGCCACACAGCTAATGTCGCTCCCGGAATAACCGACGGGCCCGCCAAGCTGATCGGGCTGACTGACAGCTCAGCTAGGGGCACGCGCCCCGCCGTACACGGTGGGATCTGCAAGCACGGGAGGATCATGGGGAGCGAGCGAAACAGCGACGAGCGCGAGGACGACGGAGACGGCACGCAACACGAAGAAAGAAGGTAGAGAAGAGGATGGATAGGGGGAGAAGAGGAGGGGGAAGCCGACGGGTGTCGGCAAACTACCACGCGTGCACGCGTGAGAACAATGCAACAGTCTGCGGTACTTACGTGGCCGATACCATTAACACCGTAACCGCCGGCGTTCACGAAACCCTGAAGAACGGACAAAACATCAGCGTTCGACAGTGGCCGTGCACGACAGAAGGCGGGCACCGGCGGGCTGGAGCAGTCGAAGGTATGGGGCAGAGCCGGCCCCAACAGCCCGGTGCGCGGCAACACAGACACGGCACGCGCAGCCGGCGCAACGTCCGATGAACTCAAACTAGAACGTCTGTCCTGGCGATGAATGCGCAGAAAAATCGGCACCAGCCGGGATTCGAGCCTAGAGAGGCCCGGACGTCACGACGGGACCGCTACAACAGATGGGCCGTACGGGGGCTGCGGACTGAAGCGGCGGGCGGCGGGAGACGCCGCATGTAGCAGCCGTCCGGACAGCCGGAGCAGCGCAACAGACGAGGACGCCGCCGACGGCTGCTGCCGCGGAGGGCATGCCAGCGGTGATGGCACTTACATAGTCGTGGAACGCCTTCGCTTCGCTTGAGTGGTCGCACGTTTCCCTCCGCTCCGGTGCCGCGCAGTACAGGTCCCAGAATACACTGTCAACAGGCAAAAACTGGTCGGCACAAACATCAGTTATGGAGCCGTTATCAGCCCGCGGATTCGCAGCACGCATCTCAGCGGGCCCATCAAACGCTTCAGTCACGACAGTCCTCGGCGTTCAATGTCGCAGCCAAAATGCAAATCGATTTCGACAACAACAATTTCTGCATTCTGCACTGGTACCGTTTGCATCGTATAAAGGGCGATTTCACACATGGTTTTCGCGGTTGCACATATGCACGCACGTTCTACGAATAACTTAAGTTAAAGCTGTACGCCATATCAATCAATAATTTGCCAGTCCCATCAGTGTACAAAAAACGACGACATATAGCACTACGAGAATGTCTGCATCGATCCGAAGCAAAACAGGATACCAAAGATGAAACCACCCCACTGCCGGCAACAACACTTTCCTAAATTGTGGATGAACCCTCGCAATGTTGTTGTTCCTTCATCTGGTATTGATGACGATCGCCCGTCTCAGCAGTACGAGGGGGGGGGGGTTATGCGCAGTCGCCGTGTCTCCAGACACACAGGTCCATGAAGGCTGCAGGGCGCCACAGACCACCCCCGAACCCCGACCAATCCACCGACGGCGCCGACCGCGCAAGACCAGAGGAGGAAAGCGCCGCTCTGTTCTGCGGCGTCAAATCTGATCATTCTGGTCTGGTTCCGCCGGTCAAAATATAGCCTGATGCACATGGCGCCCAAGTTGGCCATGATTACGACGCCATGGAAGTCGTGCGATCCGGTGGAGCGCGAGCTCTGACGCTTCCGGTAGCGAATATTTGTGGGCTCCATGTCCGTGTTCGTGGGTTATGAACTGGCTGCCGCACGCAATCAGCTGATTCTTGGCGGGATGAAAATTGCACATGTTTGTAACTCGGTGCATGAAGGCGGTGAAATAGCGTCGCTTGATGCAACTGTAAGGTCTTCATTACCATTACTTTTTGGTTTTTGAGACTAGGTTCAGAATTGGCTTGCATGGGCACAAACACAAACTTCTCAACGCAGCGCTATCTTTGGCTTGTGCGTTGTTAATTATATGCCCATACCCACTATTAATTATACATAAAATAGGCTGCGCTCTGACCGAAAGCATGTCTAACGATTTCCCCTGTCATGTCGGATTCAAACATGAGGATTCCATGCGACTTTTGCTGGCTGTCTTATTCGAGAAAAGCAATGATGATTTTAGTACGGAAACTTCAAGCACGTGTGTATAAAAAATTGGCTTGGTCGTTAGGTAAATGTGTCAAATGCACAGCTAACGGGTGTGAACCAGAATCCGACCGGATTCAGAGTCGACTGCGGATTGTCATGACCATTCGGAAGTCGGCTCCAAAGACTCGATTCCTTGAACGGACGAATCACGCCCAGAGCAGGACCTATCAGCTGAAATATCCAAGGACCTGGACTCGGACTCAGACTTAAACCCAAAGGTCTACTCACACGGACGTTTATTCGGTGCGCCTGACGCGCGCGCGCAGCCCAAGGAATGTGTGTGCAGGTGACGTCATAAGAAAAGTGTGACGTGCAATACACACATAACGCCACTCAGCGCAGATTGCAGCCAAATTAGACCTTACTCAGTCCATTCCTTGCACAGCATGATCCACCCTGGTCAAGAGTCACACATACATTAGAGCTGAGTAAAATGAGTTCCAAAATTTCGTTAGAGTTTGGTCACAGAAGACATGCCACGAGATGATATTCAACACATTGACATGATTATTGGTATTTCGTTGAACTCATTGGATGATATTTGACTAGTTGGCTTTGGCATCATGACACCTAGTGTATACTGTTAAATACCAGCACACTGATCAAAATAGCCAAAACTACCTATATTGATCTATGACCCACCTTATCATTAAAACCGAGTTTTGTGGCCCATAAAGTACGATGCATTAAACAAGTTCATCTACGATTTTATCCAGACACAACTACTATCGCGGATATGATGAGCTAACCCTCACCATTTCAAGACCTCCATGGCACCATACGTGATAAGATCTCAATCGGCTGCCATGGAATGTCTGGGACGCCCAGAACGAGATACCTTACTGACCACAGCCGCTGATAATGCTACGCTCCCAATCTACCCTACCGATTTGCAAGAGCTTTCACCCATTAATTCAGTACCCTCCATTTATTTGGTCAATTGACGTACGCTGACATGGAATGATGACACCAGTCCCATTTACTTATATACTGCCTTTCAGTCTGACGAGAGTTCTCTGCTCGCGAAAAACGTCGGTTTTCACAAAACCTTTACCATCAATTTCGCAAGGCCTGTTTGCTCGTTCACTCCCGCTATCCTCACTTGAAATCGGTTACAGGTCGTCAAATAACCTTAAATGACCTAAGCGTGCTCTTCAGCTTACAGACAATTCTACTCCGAGACGCGGATATACCCACCCGACCGACGCCTACGAAAGCGCCACCACTTTGCTCGCAACGTCCGGTTTTCTTGGCAACTCAAAACATGGTCACCTCAAATCACATTGGAGGTACTCAAATAACCTCTTACGGCCGCGACTGTCAATGCTGCGTCTGAAATCACTGGCAGAACATATATTTTGCGCGTAAAATGCTAACACTGCTTCCCTTTCTGTTCGCAAGCTGTCATCTATTGATCCAATGATGTTCGCAATGGCATGATAACTTGTAGTGCAAATATATAATGATGTTAACGGTACGAAAATAAAAATAAGACCGACTGACCCCCAAGACAAGACGCATAACACTAGAAACGCATGCGTCTTCAACTTGAGACGGGGGGCTCGGATAAGTTTGAGATCTCGGTACGGTTTGAGTTTAACGGCTGAATTGATAAAGAGCGCGTGCCTTAGAGTAGTGGTAGCAATTGGGGCCTTCGGGCGATTCGACTGCGTGGTCATAAAGATAACTTGGAGAAAGTTGGACCGCGAATTCGCCCAAAAATGGACATGAACTTAACCACCGGTACACATAGGTTACAACATCTGGACACAAGTCTTAGCACAAAAACTCCTGAGAAGCAGAACGGCTGAACTCGGAATCACATGGCATGAAACGAGCGAAATGCAAAGATTTGAACTTGGGCTCAAAGTCTGTTGATTTAATGCCCAAAGACTCATATCAAACCTCAAGCTTAAAGCACCGGGGCCTGGATGCAAGACCCAGGACTCAGATTTTACTAACAATCGATGCCACACGACCAGGACCTCGATCTCAAGGTCATAATAACACAAGACAACAATGGCCAATGACTCGGACTCGCACTACTGCACAGCGGGGGCGAATATTCGGATCGGACTTCGGCATTTCTGAAAGGGTCGGTGCACATCTCCGGATCGGAGCGCCCCGACCCGGACAGGACTCATGCCTAACAGACTGAACGTGCTAATCTTGAATTGTGCGGGCAGCAAAAGAACGACTTTAAAAGGCACGAGGAATCGCCCAACACCGTCAGTCTTCGGAGCAGCGCACAAGCGAGTGGCCTCAGCGGCCTCGCGTCCACCGCACTTATCGAAATCCCATCAGAGTGTACGTGCTATTTAAGACCCTGGCAGGCAAGCGGCATTCAGCCAGGAGCTAGTAGGTAATCATGGCAGCTTCCCAGCGGGGTATTGCGGTAGGTCCGCCACAAAAGGCGGCCGTAACTCATTCGACAGTCCGGCAGGTAGGGGCAGTGGTGGGGAGGGGGAGGGGCCGTGAATCCTCACATGCGCCCAAGCCATATAAATCATCGTACAGCTCACTCGACGGTTGGAACACTGTCGCGTGGCACAAAACAAATTGACGGCATTCTCGACGCAGCCGCACGCGACCACTGCCGCTGCCGTGACTGGCCGGTGTTGAGCGCGGTACAGCCGGTGATGGCCGCTTGCTGCGCGAGGACAGCCAGCGGCGCGCCATTCCATTTGCCAGTGATGCAAGGCACTATGCTACTACAGAAATGTGCCGCGTGGGGGCGGGGGGGGGGGGGGGTGATGGGTCTCTATATACTATAGTTCATGCGCCCCATGGATGTGTTCGCGACGCTAAGATCAGGGGGAGCGTTGTGATCTCGACCTGGGCTTCAGGCGACGAATGTCTTGTGTTATTATCATATTCTTCCGCAAGTTGCCGTTCCCAAACTATCCAGTTTCAGTCGTCCTGAAACTTCCTCCTCTTTTGACTCCTTTGGTATAGTTCTTGTTGCTAGGAGTTTCCCCCTTTAACGTGTACTAAAACCAGCGGCATTCTGGCATCAACATCTGGCCTATGGGGCAAATACGCCATAGCGGCTTTCATTTAGGCGGCGTTTTAGTCCATGGTGTTGCGGAGGACAACACGGGGCAAAACTGGGAGACATTCAAGTTCTTCGCGTTTTTTAAGGGAGTGGAATGGGGGGGGGGGGGGGGAGCGGAGTCGGAAGCCTACTTTTTAACCTTCCTAATTTTAATCGGAAGCCTACTTTAAAGAAGCTTTACTTCTTTAATCTTCAAGATAAGGGCCTTCTGTCCGTTCCACCGGGTGCCTTCCTTGGGCTATCAGCAATTTGGGCCATTATAGAATTTTGAGAAAAGATTTTGCGCGCATCGGGCCGTACTGGAGGCGTTTTGCCAGGCTGATGAACACTGAGAACACAAAACTGTTCAAATGTTCAACTATGTGTAATGCACAGGAATATGTCAATGCATGTTTTTATACACACCAGCCTTTTTAGAATTGACAATGCAAATAAAACACCTCAGGGAAAACAAGCATTGTTTCTTTGCTGGACCCAATCCCGTGCACACAGTAATGTTGCAGTTCAGTTCTGGCCTTTGGATGGATCATGCGGCAGGTCCACATGTACTCCACAGTGGCATCAGCGCTCCAGCAGTGCTATAAACCTATGTAAGCCAGCACTATGCCGGCGCTGTCCGCCGAGGCAAGACGAATATAACAAACATCCTTCAATTGTTCCGTGTTTGTTGGCACTGAAGGTCAGGTTTTTCGCTAGCCTTCCTTATTCCGTACAAATAACCTATTGCTAGGTACAATAGCACCTTTGTAGATGAGCGGCTTCTTGTTCAAAGAGCATTCACGGTGGTACAACTGCACCTTCATTTCCCTTCCATAAAGTAGCTTTCAAATATGGTTGGTCGCAGGCGGCCGCCAGTTTCAAATGAGACAGTTTTAGATGACGTTCTGGGAAAGCCGACTGGATGGTGGCTTACAGCGGTTTCATGGCTCTTATGGACCCATGTCTGTATACCGTATCGTGGGGGGGGGGGGGTAGCTTGAAAAGGGCCACATCGCTTTCAAGAATCGCTGCTACCTCCATACCTTCGCAACGATATGGCATGCCGACCATCGGCCCAGACAACAAGACGGCTCACATATTAGTGGAATTCTAAACATGAAATCAAATATCTTCCTGGGTAAAAACACAGCAAATAACCTATGCGTCATCCCGCCTGAAATCGGCTAACGGCCCCAACATTCCACCACGACGTTCTAACGCCAAACGACTCTCCTAGCAATCCCACAACGCCCCAACGCCAACGAACACCTAGCAATCCCACAACGTCCCAACGCCAACGACCTAGCCAATCCACCCACATAAGCACCCATCAGCGCTGCACCGCCCGCCAGCCTATAACCCGTGCATCCCACAACCCACAGCTCTCAACCCAGCCGTCCTGCGCTTGCAGCCAACCAGGTGCCGGGTGTGGCCACCCCGGCGCTGCCACATGTCCGTCCACAGTCGGCTTCACGTCCGCTGCCCCCCCCCCCCCCCCCCCCCGGCCGCCCGCCGCCGCCGCGCTGGCTCACGTGGCGGCACCACGTGAGCTGGCGCCCACGCCGCCCCCTCACCTGGCCGCGAGTCTTACTGAATGTTAAGAGCGGAAGCAGAGGTGGCGCCCGGGTTTCGAATCCCCGCCACATCACGCGCGCCGAGTTAAGTGGCCGACATGTCCCGTGCATCCGGCACCACGAGATAATCGCCCGCGCTCATGCCCACGACAAACCATCGCACCCCGTGACGCAAAGCATACCGCGATTTCGTTCACATAAACAAGCTTGGGCTGGTGCAATGCACGCTGGCCACTATATCCGAACGATACCAAAACGCCCGGTCCGGCAGCTGGAGCCATGGCTTTCAAACTGGCTGTGCGGCCCACCACCGCGGCCAAGAGCAAAATATGAGTTCCTAGAGCACGGCCGGAGGATTGTCTGCCAATCGTCAATTTTAAAGTAGCTTCGGAAACCCGTTAAAAACCACAGCTTAGGAGTGTGATGAAAAACTTCGAGATGCTCAGGCTAGGAGCTTTGAGACACAGCAAGCCTAATCTAGGTCCCCACCAGCTCCTAACCGGTATAACCAGCATCCAAAGCAGACAGCTCGCTAAGAAACAGGAAATCTGAACCGCTGTCAATTTCGACCGCCTTTCACTGACAGTCGAGGAGATGAGTAGATAACGTTACCTGCGCGGTCATCGTGTTGTGAATATCAAAGGAGCAATACTGTCCGCATTGACAAGCATATGACACGTAACTATAAAAGATAAGACATGTCCCATTTATGCGTACAAGTGACGCAAGATTTCGACGTTCTTACACAGTAAGACCAACGCGTTACATTCTTCTTTGAACGGCACGCAGACTCTGGGGCGCCCATTTTCCCCAATGGGTCACGTCTTACATGCTTTCTGGGCCGTCCACGGCGGCCAGGCCTCGGCCGTCCACCGCTCAGTGC